CCGGCTCCTTGCCGCAGGCCGACGGGCTGCGGCAGGCGCTGGAGGAGATGCGCGCGCTCTACGAGCGGAACCAGGCGGACGTGTGAGTGCCCGGGCCGGGAGCGGCGGCACCGGCGCGGGCTCCGGCCGGGCACCGAGCCGCCACCGCCGCCTCCTCGTCCTCCAGGTCTGAAGCCAAGTCGGGGCGCACGGACCTCATCTTCCTCATCCGCTTTCGCCACTGCTGCCTGCTGCGAAACCAGCGCTGCGTCGTGGCCTACCTGTGAGTGCGGCTGCGGGTGCAGCCATCGGGGCTCGGGCGTCCCCGTCCCACTGCTCTTAGAGCAACCGGGCCCCAAACCCCGTCCTTGCTCTGTCCGGGAAAGCGCCGCTTTGCCCCTCGCTCCTTCCCCCAGGTACGACCGGCTGCTGCGGATCCGGGCGCTCCGCTGGGAGTATGGCAGCGTCCTGCCCAACGCCATCCACTTCCACATGTCGGCGGAGGAAGTGAGTCCGCCTTGGCCTTCCTCCCACTTAACTCTTCCCGATAAACCACCTGGGTATGAGAGTCAAAGCTGGACATGCGTTTCCACTCTAAAATGCATGATGTTTCATGCATCTTTCTGCAAATGTCCATTTATTTTCCTGTTGTCCTTCCAAGGATGCCAAATGGGTGCTAGGTGGGGAAAAGCCTTTGGGACCGTGTGATCTTCACCCCACCAAGCTTGGGGCAGGCAGAGCTGCTTCTCTAAAGGCCACCTCTAACCCAAAGCTTAGAGATGGTGACGCTTTCTAGACCGTATCCTAGTTTTCCTTTGCCTGGCACAGCTTATTCCCTGTAGAAGAGCTCGTGAGGGCTCCTTTATCTTCCCTTCAGCTAAGGATTGACATTGACGTCCGCAGGTGGAGTGGTTCAACCGGTATAAAAAGTCTTTGGCCACCTACATGAGGTCAGTGGGAGGAGAGGAGGGGCTGGACCTCACCCAGGACATAAAACCCCCAAAAAGCCTCTACATCGAAGTAAGTGACTGATTGCTGCTTTCTGCTTGGGGGGAAAACAACCAAGCACTGCAAGGTGGAGGTTCCTTGAGTGGTCTCTGCTTCCCACCAGGCTGTAGGCTCCCTGAGCAAAGTGGGATGGAGAACTGGAGCACCCCTCCTTTACCCTAAGCCACCCTGCCCGCCAGTGTTGAACTCTGGTTTGTCCCTGGCGTGCAGAAACATGAGCATGTGGAAACAAAGTGGGCTGAAACGCCGTTATTCCAGGCTGCAGGGAATCGGGGTGGGGGTCAGGCCTCAACTACAGGGAAAACTTCATGGCCTTTATGGCATTTGGAAATATGGAAAACTTTATGGCAGTTATTAGCAAACGCTCCTGTTGTCTCCCGAGAGCTCTTGGATCAAGTTTCCCTACTAAAGATCTGTAACTTGTTTTCTTTGTTGTTGTTTTAAGCAGATTTTTGTGGGTGTTTGTAGCCAGCAGAGACGTGCTGACGCGCTGCCCTTTGGCTTCGCAGGTGCGCTGCTTAAAGGACTACGGCGAGTTTGAGATCGATGATGGCACCACCGTCCTGCTGAAGAAGAACAGCCAGGTAGCCGGGCAGGGAGCGGGACGCTGGGCGCTCCCGTGGCGGCTCCGCGGTGCGGAACCGCGGATATCGGGGAACCCTGTCCGTGCCTTTGTGCAGCACTTCCTCCCTCGCTGGAAATGCGAGCAGCTGATCCGGCAAGGCATCCTGGAGCACGTCCTGTCGTGAGCGCCGGGACGGCCCTTCCCGGTGCGCGGCGCCCGGCTGCCTCCTGTCCTGCTGCTCGAACCGCCGCCGGCGCAGGGAGCAGCCCGGCCCGTGTGAGCCCCGCGAGCCCCAGAGCGGCCCGTACTGGTAACACTGGGGCTGTAGCGCGGGGCGGAGGGTGGTCCCCGAGCGCTGCCGCTACCCCGGCGTTTGGAGGCTGCCTTTGGGCCGGAGCGGTGCTTTATTCGCTGGGCACCCTCACGGGTGTGAAATAAAGAACTGCTTCAGCCTGAGGGCTGACTGTGCCCTGCCTCTGCTCTGCTGCCCCGATCCACGCTGGCCTCTCGCACGGCCTGTGCAGCCCCCCAAAAACACAGGAGCCGTTTCCCAGTGCGTGGCCCCTGTGTCCGTGCGCCCGGACACGCTGCCACCTCCCCCTGCAAGGGCAAGGCCCCCAGTCCGGCTGGTGTTCGTCAGCGCAGACACTGGGATCTGCAGCCTTTGGAGCCCCTCTCTGGGCAGGAATCGCGCAGGGAGCCGTTCATGGGCGCTGCAAACCCCTCTGTGCTTCCACACAGCTTTCCCGCTTGGATTCGCCCTGGCAGCAGCTCCCACCCAAACGCCCCATCAGGGCACAGGCCCGTGCTGCTGGGACGGACCCGCAGGCAGCCGGCACAAAAAGCCCCCCACAAAAGCCCCCAGCGCGGGTGCTTTCAGCAAGGAAACTCATTTTATTTCCCGCAGCTCCCTTCTCCAAGCGCCGTGCCCGGTGCCTCCGAGCAGGGTCAGGGCCGCCCCATCCCGTCAGGCGCTCAGCGATGCCGGGGCCATTGCTGCGAGCAGCCGCTTCAGGGCCGACACCTGCCCCTCCAGGGCCCGGGTCCTGTCCCGCGCGCCCTCGTGCTCCAGCCGGGTGTCACGCAGGGCCCCGGCCAGGCCCCTCGGCCCCGCGCGCAGCTCCTCCATGGGCGGCCGCTGGTGCCCGGCGGCCGAGCGCGGAGCCTAGGGCAGGAGCGGCCGCGTCCAGCCGGGGCGGCTGCCCCCGGCAGCCCCTCGGCCCTCCGGGCACCTCCTGGCTGCCCAGGGGGAGGGCAGGGGCGCCGCGGGACGGGGCAGCACCCCGGGCACCCCAGCGCTCCCCTCGCCCGGCCCCAGGCTGCTTCAAGGCGCAGCGTGGCTGTGCCAGTGGCCCGGAGGCGGCTGTGTCTCCTATCCGGAGCCTGGCCCGGGCTGTGTCTCCTATCAGCACAGGGCCGGCCCTGCGCCCAGCAGGGCTGGAAAGGGCAGGAGGGCTCGGAACAACGCGTCCGCCCTCCCTGCGGGCTCCCGGTCTGCAGCATCTTCCCCCGATCCTCCCGCCGCCGCGCGCGGTGCCCGGCACCCACCTGCTCCGGGGAGGCTCCGCGTTGCCGCTCCGTGCGCGGCTCCCTGGCTGCCTGCTCCGGGCGCCGCTCCGCACGGCCGGTCCCGTCGGGGTGTTGCTGTCGCTCCATCCCGAGCGCCTCCTCCGGCTCCGGGCTCCACGCGCGTTTTGGCTCTTTGAGGCCATCAATTATAGCCCGGTATTTTGCAGCTCTTTCTTCCAGCTCCTTCTTCTGCTCCTCCGCTTTGGTTAGCTCAGCCCTGAGCTTCTCCTCGCTGGGCTTCCTCTCCCTCTCAAAGCTCCTCTTCATCACCTCCAGTTCCTGCTGGTAGCGGGTTGCCTGTGAGGGGGACAGGATTGGGGTATGGGCGCCGTGTTCCTGGGTGGCTCCAGCAGCACCGACACTTCCCGCTCTCTCCAGACCCTGCTATGGGCTAAAACGGGCAGGGGAAGCACATGGAATAACCCCAGCGGAGAGGAGTTATCGCTGTGACCCCCGCCGGGCTGGACAGACCCAGCAACGTTCCTGGAGCGGATGGCACAGCTCGGAGCCGGGGATATGGGATGTTCCCCTCTCCGTTCACTGTCCGCTGCGCCCGGGTGCTGGCTGTTCCCCTCGCCGCCCCGGCCCTCACCTTGGTTTCCAGCTGCACCCGCAGGTCCTGGAGTTGGTCCTGGAGCTGCTGCATGGCGAGCGCTGTCCCTGCACACGCAGCGCTGCTGGAGAGGCGCGCCGGGAGCGGGATGCTCCGCCGGGACATCCCTGCGGAGAGCGGCGGCTCCGTGGGCCCTTGCATGGGGCTGGCAGAGCCCTGCTTCCATGGGATGGCCACGGGCTCCTCCAGAGCCCGAGTCTGGACTCCCGCCTTGGGGTTTGATGCAGGTGTAACCAGCCGAGCCCTCGCAACCCCCAGAGATGGAGACGATCCCAGTTATTGGACACCAGACCAGGCCTGCGCCACCCCCGGGGCAGGACGACTCTTCCTAATGGTCAACTTGGACCTCCCCAACTCCAGCTTGGGGCGATTTCCCCTTTATCAGACGGCGCTTCCTCACCATCCTCCTCCTCGTGGGAGAGCTGCGTGGCCAACCCACAGAGGAACCCTTATGCTGCAGGACCCCCCCTTCCCACTGTCCCTGTCGCCAGGAGCTGCAGCTCCCGCCCACCCCACAGAGCGGGCACGGAGACCCCCGGGAAGCTCTGCCTGGACACGGAGACCCCCGGGAAGCTCCGCCTGGACACGGAGAGCCCAGGAAGCTCTGCCTGGACACGGAGAGCCCAGGAAGCTCCGCCTGGACACGGAGAGCCCAGGAAGCTCCGCCTGGACACGGAGACCCTGGGAAGCTCTGCCTGGACAGGGAGACCCTGGGAAGCTCCACCTGGACACGGAGACCCCCGGGAAGCTCCACCTGGACACGGAGACCCTGGGAAGCTCTGCCTGGACACGGAGACCCCCGGGAAGCTCCGCCTGGACACGGAGAGCCCAGGAAGCTCTGCCTGGACNGAAGCTCCGCCTGGACACGGAGAGCCCAGGAAGCTCTGCCTGGACACGGAGACCCTGGGAAGCTCTGCCTGGACACGGAGACCCCCGGGAAGCTCTGCCTGGACACGGAGACCCCCGGGAAACTCTGCCTGGACATGGAGAGCCCAGGAAGCTCTGCCTGGACACGGAGAGCCAGGGAAGCTCCGCCTGGACATGGAGACCCCCGGGAAGCTCCACCTGGACACGGAGAGCCCGGGAAGCTCTGCCTGGACACGGAGAGCCAGGGAAGCTCCGCCTGGACAGGGAGACCCCCGGGAAGCTCCGCCTGGACACGGAGAGCCCGGGAAGCTCCGCTCTGCAGGCGGAGGAGCTGCCTCCTGCGCACGTACCCTGCGGGTGCCCGCGGGACCGGGGCCCATCCTGGCGCAGCCGGACGCGCAGCCCCTGCAGCTCCCTGCGCAGCGACTTGTTCTGGTCCCACAGCACCTGCACGAGGCCCCACAGCACCGGTCACGGGGGGCACTGACGGCTTCTGTGGGCGCTCTGTGGGGCGGAAGAGCCGCAGACCCCCTTCTGACCCAACCCGGGCCATCCCTAGCGACCAACGCGTCAGAAACCCTGGGATCTCCCCTGGGAGACCACATCTCTGTGCATCCCCAGGGCAATCCAGCCAGCAGCACCGCATGCAGGTAAAGCAAAATCCTTCAGGTTTTGCTTTGATTTGGGGGGATTTGAGGTGCAGCAGGCCCCAAAGGACTGTCCACACTGAGAAGACACAGCCCATACACCATCACCTGCAAAAACCACTATGATTTAGGGAACTTGCAAAGATCCCAAGGCCATGAGCAAGGAGAATAGCTGAACCCAAGCGGGCGCCTTCACAGGGCCAGATAATTCACCAGCATTGGCAGAGACATCCCTGGAGGTGCTCAGGAGGAGGAAGGAAGGAGAAAGAGGAGGAAAGGCTCCTATCCGTGAGCCACCGGGAGCAATTCCATGCTGGAGAGCCCTCCAGCCTCAGGAAGCACACGCTCAGGAAGCAGCGCACAAAGCGCCCAGCAAGTCCCACGGAGAGGCAGAAGGTGGGAACGGAGCCGGGGGGCAGCACACGGACATGGGGACCGGCACCCCACGCGTGCCAGGGCCCTGGCCGGCTCACCTTGACTCTCTAGCAGCGCCACGTTCGGGGCCAGTCGTTAAAACGGGAGCACGGGGGAAGAGACACAGAAGCGTTGAGCTCACAGCCCGCCTTGCGAGGAAGCAGCCCCGCTGCCAGCTGCAAGCCCAGCCTTTGAGGTGAACACCCCACAACACAGCCTGGAGTATCCCTGCACCCAAACCCACCCAAACGAAACAGCCCCTGTCCCTTGGGATGGCGGAAAAGGAGCCACCTCCAACCCACCCCAGGACGCCGGCAGCCTTCCGAGGGGGACAAGCTGGGAGCAGGAGGGCCAGGCTCGGCTCCACGTGGCCGCGTCCTGCCCTGCTCCACACCGACCAGGGCGGCCTCCTCATGGCCTGAGCCCACCAGCGATGCTGGTGGCTGCATTCTCCCCTCAGCACCTCCGCAGCGCTGCCCGTCCGCACCCGGCACTGCCACTCGTATTCCAGGATGATCCCTGCGAAGCGCTCGTGCTGGCCCAGGGCTTCTGCGCTGCACGGCTCCAACTGGCCCAGCTGCACAGAGAGAGACACTTCTCGTCAAGGAAATCATCGCCACACCGGTCACGGGCTTTCCCAAGCTGCTGGAACCATAGCCAGCGGCAAAACCCACTCCCAGGGACTCAATGCAAGGGTTCCTATTGACAGCGGTGAGGTGGGTCAACACATCAGCACAGAAAAGGGTAAAAAAGTCTTTGTTCACATGCAAGAAACATCAAGCTTCAGGTAGGAGAGCACTCCCAAACTGCCCAACAAGGTCACACGTTATTTTTCCCACATCCTTTTTTACCAGGTGCCTTGCTGAAGTGCAAGACATCAGAACTAATACTTTGCTTCAAGTCTCGTGAAAAAGAAAGTCTGGAAGACAAAACCTGAAGCACTTGTGGACTTCAGATTCCAGTAGAAAATTCAAAAATTCAGTGCAATTTTTACATTTGCAAACTTTCCTCATTTTTTTTTTCTTTTGATCTTTGAACATCCCAACTTAAAAGCCGTTACTATTTCCAGACTGTCTTTTAAGGCATGGGGAAATTCAAAGCAAAGAGGGAACTAGAACAGACGTGGCACACGCAGGACTTTCTGGCAAATAAAAACATCACTTTTTTGATGAGTTGCTGAAAAGAGTCTACTCGGGCACATCACACAGAGAAAGGCCACCTTGTCCTTCCTAACAAGGTCAAGCTCTGTCTGCAGCTCTAACACCAGCTTTTCAGTGGCTGACAGTTTTTCAGACATCTTCACGACCTGGTTTTGGAGCTGCGTGTTCTCCTACAGATAAAAGAGAGAAGGTTCTTGTTGATGTTGCGAGTCCTCAGGTTGGGGGGCAGGTTTGGTGGCCACAGGGGCCACCAAAATAGGGAACTGTAAAGCAACAGGCTGATGAAGGTGCAGGAGAGGCTGCTGTGGGTAGTGTGGGGCTGATAAAGGCTGCAAGTGACAGGGTTTGGCTCATCTCTCCAAGTATCTGGGTGGGTTTTGCAGGATTGAGGGCTGGATAAAATTGCTTCTGCTTCGCAGAACTAGAGCTCCCCTCACAGTCAATAGAGGCAAGTCTTGAACTTCATCTCCATCTCCATCCATACACCGAGAACAGCCCAGGCACTGAGACACGGCCTCTGCTCTTGGCATGGTCCCTGGCACTGCTGCAACCTCGGCCACTAGCCACTGAGTCACTGCCAGGAACCCTTCCCAGCAAACAGCAAGGGGATTTAACACGGCAGAGCAAGGGAATGGACTGTGCAGCTAATTCACTAGTGTGGACGAGGCTGATGATTTTTCTGCAGCAAGCACTTGGGCCTTCCAGCTAAAGCAAGGACAGCAAGAGCAATGGTGCCTCTTCGTGAGCACCTCTGCCTTGCCTCCTCCAGAGCAGAGATGTTTCATCCAGGGCACTTTTACCTTCATCGTGAGGTTCAGTCTTCCCTGCAGGTTGGCCTCTCTGTCCTGCAGGAGCTGCGCGCTGGCCTCCAGCTTGGCTTGACGCTGGGTGGCCTGCTGCAGAAGCAGGTCTTTTGCCTTCATTTCAGCCTGGATTTTCCTGGAACAGACAAGCACCAAGGCCTGGGCACCTAGACACGTGCTCATAGCTGGGCATGCGGTCCAGACACTCTCCCTCCAAGCAGGGGATGAGAGCTTGGTGGAGGGGGCTGTTGTGCCTGTGGGATAAGTATTTCTGGCACTAAATGGTGGCAAAACACGAGGGAGATCCAGGCAGACACATTTTCTGTGGGAGGGAGAGGTCCTAGGCACCCATCCCACCTACAAGGGATCTCTATCCTCCTACCTGAGCCTGCCCTGGCTGTCCTCGTGGGCAGCACGCTGCTCATCCAGCTGCCGCAGGAGCTGCCGGCAGCGCCGCTCGGCTCCCTCCAGATCCAGCCTGGCTGCGTCCCTCTCCCCGGAGATCTGCCTCGCGCGGATCCTGGGGGAATGCGAGCTGGAAGTCCCCGCGGGCGGCGCAGAGGGGCCCTGCCCGCGTCCACAGCGCGGCCCTCACCGCAGCCACTGCAGCTTGCGCTCGCACGAGGCCACGGCCGCCTGCTGCATCCCGCTCCCGGGCACGCGGCCGGCTCCTCCGAGGCGCTGCAACAAGAGCGCGGCCTCAGATCTCCCGTTTTCCTCCATCCCATAGCCCTGGACCCCGCGGGCTTGGACGTGACTCCCCCATTTCACTTAGATCACAGCCACCCCAACGCAGGTTTTTCGTCCCCGCTCCGTCACCAGCCGCCCTGCAAGGGCTCCCGGTTCCGACTGTTCCGCGTTGTCCCGGCGGGCGCTTGCTGGAAGCCGTGTCCTTGCTTCACTCACCACCACCCAAGGCAGTGCTGGAGACCTCGAGGGGTTCCCTGCAGCTCCGGAGGGCAGCGACGAGCCCGGGCTCCGCAGATCCAGCGCCGACGTCGGCGCGCAAGGACAGGCGCTGAGCGGGAAGGACAGGCCGCTTCCCGGCCATCCGATGCCTGGGGAATATACAAGGAAACAGAGGAAATCAGTCAGGAACTGGCAGGGAAAACTCAGCAGCTTTCAAAAAAGAGGCTCCAAAAAAAAGGCTCCAAAAGAGGCTTTCAAAAAAGAGGTACCAAAAAGAGGCTCCCGAGATCTGATGGTTATGGGAGACAGCTCTGAAAATAACACCAATTGCCAGGACACAGAACGTCCCACGGTGTCCCTGCGGCAGCCAAGAGGAGCAAGCTGGGTCACCCCAATCCCAGAAAACCCCACGCACGGAAAACGTGGCACTGAAATGCGTAAAGCACCAGCCGGGCCTGGAAAACCACCCGAGTGAGCCTGCCAGGTAACTTCAGTTGTCACCGTCGTCGTTTGGCTTTGACCTAGGAGCTTCTTCCGAAGCAAACGGGGGCAACCTCAGCCGTGAAACGTGCAGCGATGACAGCGCCTCCGAAGCCAACGCTGTAACTGGGGTCACTCTTCTCTGTCATTATGCGCATCCCTCTTTCCAATAAAAAAAAAAAGGGGGAAAATGCCGCTCATCAGCGCTGTGCTATTCTGTGTGTGTTATATGTACGTTACAGGGACGTGTGTTCTCCTGCTGTGCCCGCACAGGGTTTTACCGGCAGTTTTATTATTATTATTTTAATTTACAGGGTTTTGCTTGCTCAGGGAGACCAGACGGAGCCGCTGGGCCTCGGAGCAGGGAAGTTCGGACCGTCCCCAAGGAGTGCGGGACCCTCAGGTGCCCTCGCAGCCTCCGCAGACGCTTTTAAATGACACCCCAGTGGAAGGAAACACCTCGGCCCGGCACCGGGTGATGGAGAACAATCCCGCGGATCCCTGGAGACGGAGCCCAGAGAACCCACCGCCTTCGGAGACGCTGTGAGCATCGAAACCTTTAAATATTATATTCTCACTTAAAGAATATTTAAATAAGATTAATTATTTAAATATTTCATTCTTATTCTTATAAGAATAAATTATAAATTATAAATTATAAATTAAAGAATATTATTTATAGTCTTTAAAAATTTATATAAATTTTTAGAAATTTATATAGAATTTACTTATAAATTCTATTAGAATTCTATTATTCTATTCTATTAACTATTCTATTAGATTATTAGAATTATTCTATTCTATTAATTATTCTATTAGAATTTATAAATTAGAATTTTATTTTTTTATAAAATTACAATTTTAGAAATTTCTTTAGAAACTTATATAAAATATAAATTATAAAGAATAAAAAAATTTATTCTTTAAATATATCCCTTTTTTTTTAAAGTGCGGACAATACACACAGCTAAAAGAGCTTGACGTTAATAATAATAATAACAATAACAATAAATTCAGCTCCCACCGCATCCAAGCGGACAGCGGCTGCACGGGGTGACCACGACGGCCCGTGGCGGCACCACCGCCTCCCGGACCGGATTCCAAGCGGAGCGGATCGGGCTGGACCATATTGGACTGGAGCGGATCGGGCTGGACTGGAGTGTTCCGCACCAGCTCGTACCTGCCGCCCGCCGCCCCGCCGCGCATGCGCCCCGCAGCCCCCCTCCCCTCCCGCGCATGCGCGGCGGGCCGCGCAGTCCGTGCGTGGCGGCGGTTGTGCCGGTGCCGCTGCGCGCGCGCGGGGCAGACCAGGCCGGGCCGGGCCGCGCGGCGGGAACGGCGCCTCCACCATGTCGGGGTCGGCGGGGTCCGGCGGCGGGAGCAGCTCGGCGCGGAAGCGCATCATGAAGGAGGAGGACATGACCAAGGTGGAGTTCGAGACGAGCGAGGAGGTGGACGTGAC